TTTGATGGACTAAAATGCAAATCTCTTTAAGAGTAGGGACTTTAGGCCCTAGCCTGTATGGCTCAATGAATAGAGCATCAGGCTGCAGACTGAAAGGTCCTGGGTTCAATTCTGGTCAAGGGCACATGCCTGGGTTGTGGGCTCAGGTTGCAGGCTCGATCCCCAGTAGGAGTCAATGATTATCCCTCACACTGATGTTTTTATCTCTCTCTCCCTCTCCCTTCCTCTCTCTGAAATCAATAAAAACATTTTTTTTTTTTTTTTTTTTTAACGAGAAGGGACTTTACTATTATTTTGTTGTTGCTCACTGCTGTCTCTGGTAAGGAGAATACAGCTATATCTTGTTTTATCGCACTTCACAGATGCTGCTTTTTAAAAAAAATTAAAAACAAGACCCTCCACCAGCAAAAAGATTACAACTCACTTTATCGTGATACTGACTTCATTACCGGGGTCCAGAACCAAACCCACAGTTTCTCTTGGGGTATGCTTGTAAAGCTCAATAAACTTAGTTTAATGAACGAATGGACATTTTCCTAGTTTCAAATATTTCTGTTTCAAAAATGCTGCCCTGAATATCTTTGTGCCCATATTTTTGGGCAGAGGATAAAATCTAGGAAGAAGTGTAGGTGCAAATGCGTGTGACTTTAAATTTTGATAAATACTGCCAAATTGGTACTTTCCAGATATTTAGTAATTCTATCGTTCCCATATCTGCTTGGGTATCAAAACCAGAATCTCCCAGATAGTTAATTTAAAATAGCTCCCTTCTGCACATCCCTTTTCTGTTCTAATTCAAGTACTATGGGGTACATGGAAACACCACCTGTGGGGGAGAATCTGCACCCCATCCCATGCCCACCTGTGGTTCTGACAAACGCTCAGGACTGAGAATGGCTACAGACACTACCCATTTCTTGCTGCATTGCAGCAGATGGAAACGTACTCCCACATTCTAATCTTAATGTGGTTTACTCAGTCCTTACTCGCCCCCTGCTTATCCAGTGCCTACTGTGTGTTCAAGACCCTATGCTCTCTCCCCCAGAGACAAGGTTGTACAGAAGGTGTGGTTATGGATCTTACCACTCCCACGTTATCGGAGGCCTGGAAATCTACAACTGAGGCACCCACCAAACAGCTGAGAACCCCGGAACACCGGTATCCCAATTGGCGCAAACACACGGATTCAGAGGAGATGTCAGATTTTGCCTGGGATCAGCTGTTAAGTCAACGCAGGAGAGAGAGAACTACATAACCAGACATCTGGAGAAGAGAGACCACGGGAGACAAAGAAACAGCCCTCATGTTTGAAAGAAAAGCAGGCATCATCAGGAAAGGAAGTAAATGAAATAGAGGCAAGTAACCTGTCAGAGAAATAATTCAGAGAAATGGTCATAAGGTGGCTGAAAAGAATGGAAGACAAATTCGACAATATGAGTAAGAACCAAGAGGAAATGAAGAAGAACCAAGAAGAAACGAAAAATAATTCCATACAATCCCCATAAGGTACCTCTATTATTTGTGCTTCACGGATGAAGAAGCAGAGGCACAGAGATGGTTGAGTAACTTGCTCAAGGTCACACAGCTAGCAAGAGTCAGGATTTGATGCAGGTAATTTAGCTCCTTGTTAAGGCCATAAGATTGAGATCACAAAGAAGCCACAGTCACCAAAGATCTGTCAGACTGAGTGGCCTCTTCCCCTATTCTGGAATGTCCACCACATGGAGATTTTGTCAAACCAAGATACTATACAGATTAAGGTTCATGTCTAATTAATTCAGGGGTCCAGTATGTGATTTTACATCTTCATTGCTGCTGCCATGTGCCCACCTGGGTTGTCCTTTAGTGGCTCCTTGCTGGTCCTAGTCCAGTGGGGCTGGTAGAACAACCTCTGAAGCTAAGCCAGTTACTGGATGTCTCAGGGAAGGGGCACCCACCCACCAGACTGAGATTTCTCTGTTTGGTTCAGGTACTGGGTGGTGAATTCCAAGAACATCTGAGACACCTTCAGGTGACTTACACCCTATGTCTCCACTTCCTTCCTACACCTACTCCAGGCTCACCCATTCCTCTGGAAATGCCCCTAACTCACTCCAGGCCTGTAAAAGATATGGACAATGATGTACCCAAAGAAGGAGTAAGGGATGGACTCTCCAAGGTCAATGTGGCAAACCCATCACAGAAATGCAAAGAAGAAAGAAAGGTTCAGGAATGTATCCAGCAAGAAGGGGGTGGAAGTGGATGTAGAACTGGGGTTGAAAAGTACCTGGAGAAGGAGAGAGGGATCATGATTTTTATTGATTTCAGAGAGGAAGGGAGAGGGAGAGAGAGAGATAGAAACATCAATGATGAGAGAGAATCACTGATTGGCTGCCTCCTGCACGGCCCCTTCTGGGATTGAGTCCGCAACCCCAGGCATTTGCCCTGATCAGGAATCAAACCCTGGACCCTGCACTCCACAGGCCAATGCTCTATCCACTGAGACAAACCTGCTGGGGCAGGGATTAAGGTTTTTAAAGAAGTCCTCTCCAGGCCTATCCACTAGGATAGAAAGGGAGAAAAGAACTCAAGGAAGTTATACTGTACACTAGGGGTGTCGAACTCAATCAGAGAAGGGGCCAAAATCTAAAATCCAGCCTAAATTGCGGGACGAATGGTTTAATGAACACTCATAAACTGTCCTTGTGATGGAAACGCAGTGGAGTGCAGTGATGACAGCGTGGTGCAGGCCACATTGCAAGGCCTGGCGTGACGGATTTGGCCCGCGGGCCTTGTGTTTGACACATGTGCTGTACACCATAAGATTATGTACTCAGCTGTTCTGTGTCTAGCAAATCATGCTACAAATACATAAGAAGTAAGAGGCTCTTCTGAGACCTTGATTTAAACTGTGTTTATTATTATTATTACTCATTTATTTTTTATTTTTTTAATATGTTTTATTGATTTTTTACAGGGAGGAAAGGAGAGGGATAGAGAGCTAGAAACATCAATAAGAGAGAAACATCGACCAGCTGCCTCCTGCACACACACCCCCACCAGGGATGTGCCCACAACCAATGCACATGCCCCCAACCGGAATTGAACCTAGGACCCCTCAGTCCACAGACCAACGCTCTATCCACTGAGCCAAACTGGCCTCGGCTATTACTCGTTTTTAAAAAAAACACAGATATTTTATTGACTCTTCACAGAAAGGGAGAGGGATAGAGAGCTAGAAACATCAATTAGCTGCCTCCTGCACACCCCTGACTGAGGATGTGCCCACAACCAAAGTACATGCCCTTTCCTGGAATAGATCTTGGGATCCTTCAGTCTGCAGGCTGATGCTCTATTCAACAAGCCAAACTGGTTTCAGCTTATTACTCATTTTTAACCATTGCCTGTTTAACCTTTGGTATGTTTCATGTCCTCCCATTTAGAAGCCCTAAAGCTACAAATGGTCCTCCCCATGGAACTGCAAATGGAGGCCACTACATTCACCTTCCCTGGACCCTGAGACCGTCCACTTCCGATGGGACCTTGACTGCCACCCCCAATGGCAGTTGGGGTTTCCTAATTGGAAGGGGGACTGAAATAGGAATTTTAGGGGTGAAATAGGCAGGATAAGGAAATTTATATAGATATATAGATATATAGATATACACTTTTTTTTTATTGATTTTTTTACAGAAAGGAAGAGAGAGGGATAGAGAAAGAAACATCGATGAGAGAGAATCATTGATCAGCTGCCTCTTGCACACCCCCTACTGGAGATGTGCCTGAAACCAAGGTACATGCCCTTGACCTGAATCAAACCAGGGATCTTTCAGTCCGTAGACCAATGCTCTATCCATTGAGCCAAACTGGTTTCCGCAGGATAAGGGAGTTTTTATAATGGGGGGCCCATGGAAAAAATAAACAAACAAAACACAGGGCTATAAACTGGGAGAAGGTACATTTCCATAAGACTAGAGAGGCAACAGTTACATTTACATAAAATAAGGAAACTGGGAGTAACAAAAGGTCTATATTTACAAAACAAAGAAGGTGGAATAGGAGGACAGTGAGGGAGAGGGGCCACACAAGTCCTATGTGAGATTTGACCTTTGAGCTCAGGCATTACTATAATAGCCAATTCAAAAGAGAATATTGACCAACCTGAGGGGATGTCACTAAGCATTAAGGACTCCTCAGGCATGTCCACCTGCTGGCCTAGGCATGCACCCTGGAGGGATCCCAGACTGCAGAGAAGGCACAGGCTGGGCTAAGGGTCCCAGTGCATGAATGCTGTGCAATGGGCCTCTACTATAAAATATATAGCATAATCCTTTCCACACACACACACTCACATACACATAATAGATTACAAGATATTAGGAGGCTATAAACCCAAATGTCAACATATTTTTCATGTGGGGTTATGGCTGATTTAAATGTTAACCTTTTATTTTTTTCTAATTGTTCTACAACAATATGTATTTGGGGGTATTTGCCATATATATATATTTTTTAATCTTATTGACTCAGAGGAAGGGAGAGGAAGAAGCAGGATAGAACCATCAATGATGAGAGAACCATTGGACAGCCTTCTTCATGCCCCCTACTGGGGATCTCAAGCCTGAGACCTGGGCCTGGGGGCTGACTGGGAAACCCAAGCGTGACCTCCTGGCTCAGAGATCCACGCTCAACCCCTGCACACCTGCCAGGCTTTATTCTGTTTCTTAGTTTCAACTGGGTTAACACAGGCCCTTGCTTTGGGTTATTTTTTTAGCGTAAATTTGTTTAATCAAGTTTCCTTTGTGTTATGATACATCTCACAATGAGCGCTTAATAAGCTTCACTATTTATTTTTCAATATTTTATACAAAGACCCGCATCTCTAGCACACTGTTCCATAATTTCGGAGCAAAATTGACCCTGGAACTGCAAACACAGGTTGGTTTGCGCAGCTGAGCAGTACGGACTACAAGTCCCGGTAGGCATTGCGGCAGGCGTACCGGAACTACGGGGGCCGAGAGGGGGCCGGGGCCCTTACGGTCCTATTCCCACCCAGAAGCCCGCGGGCTGCACGGAACGTTGTCTTGTATCATGGCCGCGGGAGCCGGGACGGGGGGCCCCGCTTCCGGCCCGGACGTTCTGCGTGATCCGGCGGCGTCACAGTCGAGGAAGCGGTCCGGTCGTGGGGGCGGGGAGGCTGCGCGGCGAACGGACGGGATGGCGGGAGGAGGCGGGAGCAGCGACGGCCCCGGGCGGGCGGCGAGCCGGCGGGCGTCCCGCAGCGGCGGCGGCGGGCGGGCTCGGCGGGGGCGGCACGATCCGGGGGCGGGGGGCGCGGGGGAGGCGCGGCTGGAGGAGGCTGTGAACCGCTGGGTGCTCAAGTTCTACTTCTACGAGGCGCTGCGGGCCTTTCGGAGTAGCCGGTACGGGGACTTCAGGCAGATCCGGGACATCATGCAGGGTGAGGGCCGGGCCCGGGGGAAGGGGCTGGGCGTTGGGGTTGGGGGCGGGGAAGGGAGGGGTATTCCGGGGCCGGGGGTCGGGGCTGGGGTCGCCGAACCGACGTTGTCTTCTTCCCCAGCTCTGCTTGTCAGGCCCTTGGGAAAGGAGCACACCGTGTCCCGGCTGCTGCGGGTTATGCAGTGTCTGTCGCGTATTGAAGAAGGGGAGAATTTAGGTATGGCAATTTTTTTTTTGTGTGTGTGTGTGTGTGTGTTATTTCTCCGGGTTTAGAGTTATACTCTTGTCACCAAATTTACATCCGGGACTGAAGGATTCGGGATGGAGGTGCGCTGCTGTGTTTGCATCAGTGGTCGTTTTCCTTCTAGAATGAGCATGCTCGGGGCTCTAGTTTTTCCAGTGGATGAGATGCTCTCTTGCCTGCTTTTCTGTGGTTTTGCCTGCGTTTTTCTTTTTATTTCCTCCCACCTGTTTCTTGCTCGCCCCAACTTTGCTGTTATCTGAAGTGAGTTATGTTAAGATGGCCACATCTTTTTTCCCCACAGTAGAGAGTTTTTTCAGAGTAGAAGCACATTTTTTATTTTCTGAATTGAACTTGAAAGCTGTTTAGCAAAGCTGTCTACAGTTTCTGGCCGCTTGTGTCTGAGGCGGATGTGTGCATCTTGAAATTTGAGCTGCAGATGCATGTGCTAAAAAAATAACTTTTCTACCTGTCTTGAAAATTAAGCCATTTCAAATTCATTGACTTGAATTTGGACTCTTAACATGTCTGTAAGCCTGTAGCGAGTTAGTCAGCAATTAAATGCAAATCTTACTATATTTGCATGTTTCCTGTCCATTAATGTATGTATTTTTGGACATAACGTTTCTACTCTGGAGAAAATAGCTTTAAAGTGAAAACTGTGCTCTTTGTCCTAGACTGCTCCTTTGATATGGAGGCTGAGCTCACACCCCTGGAATCAGCTATCAATGTGCTGGAGATGATTAAAACGGAATTTACACTGACAGAGGCAGTGGTGGAATCCAGTAGAAAACTGGTCAAGGAGGCTGTAAGGCTCTATTTTTCTTTTTTCTTTGAACAAAACTCAGAGGTCTTTGAGGATACAATGCATGTCTTTCTGTGTGCGGTGGAGGAAAAATGGTGGAGAGAGAGCAAGTGAGCACACTCAACCATGAACATACACATAGATGTTATCTCTTCAGGTAACCCCTGCCCAGCTCAGACTTGGAAAGAACCATTGATGGCAGGTGCCCAGCTGTTAGGATTTTGGTGTCTTCCTTGAGGCTCTTGCAGGAGGGGCCACAGTCCGTAGGAAACGGGTTGACATTGAAGACTGGAGATTATCACATACCATTAAGGAGAACTGTGGAAGGGCTAGAAGTAATGGTTTGGCCACCCTGGTATATAATAAAACAAGAAGAGCTGGGGCCTTGGGAAATGTGGGGCTCTGAGCTATTTCATGCAATTGCAGAAAGAGAGGCTAGGGAACATTCCCCTTGAAGAGTCACACTTTCAGAGGTGCTGTGACAATCAGCCAATTAGAAACGCAGTCATGGTAGAAGGCTTGCACAGGTAGTGTTCTTGACAAGAAAAAAAGCTAGCGGAGTGTCTAGGAATTTGGGACTATTGACTCTTTCACGGCTCAGGTAGCTTCAAGTAGTAGAACCTATTTAAAACATAGACGTAGCCTGGCCAGTGCGACTCAGTGGTTGACCCAGGAGGTCACAGTTCCATTCCAGCTCAGGGCACATGCCCGTGATGCAGGCTTGGTCCCAGCAGGGGGCGTGCAGGAGGCAGCCGATGGATGATTCTCATCATTGATGCTTCTATGGCTTTCTTCCTCTCTCTGAAATCAATAAAAACATATGGGGGGGGGGGGAACATACCAAAAACATAGAATGGCCATGGGAACCAGTCAGAAAAAGGTTTTTGTTCTCCAATGACAAAGGCTAGGGATGTGGAAGCAGATTCAGGAGGTGGGGACTGAGGAACAACAGCTCAGCATTGTCTTGGTGATGGAAAGTAAGGAAACGGCTAAGAAAAAAAAGAGCGCCCCCTGAAAGGATGGAATTGGGTCGGAGGCAGGGGGAGAGGGGAGGCTGAGGGTAAAGCCTTGCTTAGCAATGAAGACTGTGTTCCTTGGTGTGCTGAGTGCTCAGGTACCCTGTTAAAGCAACCAGTGTATGTGAGGAGCAGATGTTTATTCAGTTAAGGACCTTGGAAGGAGCTGCTTTTGCTCTTGCAAAGGAAGCTTAGATAATTCTAGCTGCAAGAATAGAATTTTGGTTGAGGTAAGTCAGGTTTGTGTTGGAGGGAAAGTGCCAGGAAAGACATAATAGCAAGGGAAGAGAAATCCATGATGGCTTTCAAAAGAGCTTTTGAATGGAAAGAAAGAGCACAGGTTCAGAGTAGTTTGTGTAGCTGCTATTAAAGAGCTAGCTGATTGAGAAATGCAACTCCTTTAGAATGCAAGGACTATAGGTTTGTCTTCTGGGGGAAGCTTTCCTCTTTCAGCTGTATATTTAAGTTCATGGATCCTTTTGTTTAGGAGCTTCGTTAAGGAAAAATCTATTCGTAAAATCTAGTTAACCATTTTCTTATGTTGACACCTTCTTTCCATTTTCTATCAGGTACAAGATCTCGATATACATAATTGTATTACTAATACTGCTGTGTAACAATTTATCCCAAAACTTAGCAACTTAAAACATTAAAGTATTTTCTCCCATTTTCCAAGAGTCAGGAATGGGGTAGTTGTACAGCCTGGGTATTTCTGGCTGAAGTCTCCCAGGAGATTATGGTCAAGCTGACTACTAGGGTTGAAAGATGTGTTTCCAGGCTCACGCACACAGTTGTTGGCAGGGCTCACTTCCTCCACGGCCATTGGTTGTAGACTTCAGCTCTTTGCCTCCATGGGGCTGCTTACATCCTGGCAGCTTGTCCCCTGGACAGAAGCTGCCATCTTTTATAACTTAATCTCAGAAGTAATGTCGTATCATCACTTCAGCCATATGCTATTGGTCAGAGATCAGGCCAACTCTGGGTTAGCGTATAGAATGGGACTGTAGGATGTAGGGATCATTGGCAGCCATCGTAGAGGCTGCCTATCAAAATTATCTTGATTTCCTAGTTATTAAATTCTCTGTCACTTGTCTTTTTTTTTTTTTTTTTTTTTTTTTTTTTTTTTTTTTTTTTTTTTATCAAGTGAGTTATTTTTTAAGCTAGATTTTCTCAGCATATAGTCTGGGGATTTCTTGCAGGTCTTTAGGACCCTTTAATGGGTCAAAAACAATTTTCATAACAATGCCAAAAACAGAAGTTGACTTTTTTCTGTGCATTGACATTTGCACTGATGGTGCAAAAGCAATGATGGGTAAAACGGCTGGTGCCTTAGCATGATCAAGGTAGTGGTAAATGATATTAGTGCTCCTTGTATTCATTGCCACATGCTTGCAGTTAAAAGCCAGTTTAAGAATGTCTTTGAGGAAGGAGTAAAAATTATTAATTTTATTTCATCTAGACTGGAGCAAACATCTTTTCACTATTTTGTGTGACAAAATAAGAATCTTGCCTAAAGTATTTTTGCTGCAAACTTGAAGATTGTCTTCAAGAAAAGCCCTTGAGTGATTGAGTTGCAGGGCTGACCTGGCTGCTTTTTGTTGTTAATCCTCGCCTGAGGATATTTTTTCATTGCTTTTCAGAGAGAATGGAAAGGAGGGGTGAGGGGAGAAAAAATAGAGAGAGGGAGAGAAGGAAGCAGGAGAGAAACTATAATGTGAGAGAGACATCTACTGGTTGCATGCCCTGACCACGGTGCAACCCAGGTACCAGCCCTTGACCCGGAATCGAACCCATAACTCTTCAGTGTTGGGCCAACACTTTAATCATTGAGCAATACTAGCCGGGCCTAGCTGCCTTTTTAATGGGACATCATTTTTACTTGACGGAACTGACAAACTTTAGGTATTTGGCTATTGTTTCCTTGAGAAAGTGAACTTGTCACTTCAAGGAAAATAATTGACAGTATTTGTTACAATGGCAAAATTCAAGCTTTCAAGTGTGTTTTGGAAAACTTGTATTAATGTGCTTGATAACTTCCCAATTCTTCAAGACTTTTCTGATAAGATTGATGATGGAATTAGCAACAGTAACTTTAAAAATTATTTTAAATAAATGGGTCAATATTTGGAAGATCTTCATAATTTAATGAACCAATATTTTCCAGATGAGCAATGCATTATATTACAGAATCATTCCTGGGTAAAAGATCCATTTAAAGTAGAAGATAAACTTAACACATTTAAGTTTGGTATAGAGTTGAAGAAATATAGCCATAATTTTCTGAAGGGCTATTTAAATATTCCTTCCTTTTCCAACTTCATACCTGTGTGAGGCAAGATTACTTTTTGTATATATTCCAACCAAAACAACAAAATGAATGCAGAAGTAGAAGTGAGAATCCATCTTTCTTCTATTAAATCGGATATTAAAGAGATTTGCAAAAATGTACAACACCAACCTTTGCATTAAACTTTTGTCTTAGAAAATATAGTAATTTTTCACAAAGATGTGTGCTTTTGTTAACCTGTAATGAATTTATTTTTGTTTTTTAATGAATTAATATCTTTAATATCAGTTTTATATTTCTAATATGATTATTAATAGATATAACACATAAATAAAAGCTCTTTGGGATCCTCATTAACATTTAAGAGTATAAAGGAATCCCAAGTCCAAAGAGTTTGGGAACTGCTTCGGTAAGTTAATGATATTGAGACTATATTGGTTTTCTCTTCATTACTACAAGACATTCCTCAGGTAGTTTCTGTCAAAAACAGCAGCGAATAGCATGGAGAGCATGTTTTGAGGAAGCAGTTACTTGCTGCTTTTTTGCCTTTGCAGCGTTTTCTCCTGCACCTTGCTTTGTAAGAGCCCTTTGATTTTCTTCTGGTGCTTTACCCCGACTGAGGGGCTGGTGGATCAGACAGACTCTCCCAGAAATTTAATTTTTGGAACAGAAAGCTGTGTCAAGGCTTTGAGCACGCCTGCTTTCCCATAACAGCCTGGATTCTTTCTGAGTTTTCTTCCTTAGCCTTTCTTTACTTCGTGAGTTTGGTTTTCTGTCTTTCCCCCAAACCTAAGGCTGTCTCTCTGCTATTGAAAATCCGTGCTTAGAATTTCCCTTTTGTTTAAGTTTGAAGAGATCAGTGCTATTGCTTATACCCAAGAACCTTAACAGACACATAAGAGAAGAAATTACACTTATTTCTGAATACTCTCAAGTGAAAAAAGCAATGGTTCATCTCTTTAAAAGAAATCTTCACCGGAAATGAATACTTAGTTTTAAAAGATAAACTCATAGCCCACAAACGTTGGAGGCAGACTTTTAGATTTTGAAAGCATTTGTATTTCCTTTCTTGTTTAACAAATTAAATATAACAGGAACTATGTTCCAGTTCTGGAATAGATTAAGCATGCTCTCTTCCGATTACTTTAATGCTCCAAGTATAAGTCCTGCACAGAATGTGTGGAACTCTGAGGACTTAGAAATATAAGTGGTAGTAAGAGATGGGAAAACACCAGCATTTGAAAGTCTACCAAACTGGTGATAAGTAGTTTATCATTGTTTCCCTCTCCAGTATCTTCCAGCCCGGACTTGAAGGCTCCTTAAAGCTGGAAGTGCACTCTAGGTGTGAACAGAAAGAACTCCAAGGGAGGTTCTCTCTGGTCAGAGGAGCAGGAAGGAGATCGAAGGGTCAGAGAGGATGGGAGAAATTCCAGTTTTGTGTTTTCCTTCTCTTTGCCCAGCACTTAGGCAGTACCACAGTAGTGGCAGCAGGGCAGGCACCTAAACTGAAGGCAGAACCCCTTTCCTCTTTAACAGTAGAGGTATGATCCTTGGAACTTGGAGCAAATTCCATTGCTTTTATTTTTTATTTTATATTCTTTTATTATTATTTTTTAAAATATATTTTATTGATTTTTCACAGAGAAGAAGAGAGAGGGATAGAGAGTTAGAAACATCGATGAGAGAGAATCATCGATCAGCTGCCTCTTACACACCCCCTACTGGGGATGTACCTGCAACCAAGGTACATGCCCTTGCCTGGAATCGATCCCGGGACCTTTCAGTCTGCAGGCCGACGCTCTATCCACTGAGCCAAACCGGTCCCGGCAAATTCCATTGCTTTTAAAATATATATATTTTTATTGATTTTAGAGAGGAAGGGAGAGGGATAGAAAGAGAGAACTACCAATGATGAGAGAGAACCATTGATCAGCTGGTTCAACAGACACACACACCCACACACACACACCCACACATACACATCCCTGGGGATTGAGCCTGCAACCCAGGGATGTGCCCTGACCAGAAATTGAACCATGAGCTCCTGGTTCATAGGTTGACTGAACTATACAGGCTGGGCTCCATTGCTGTTTTTACTGTACATCCTGCTGCTGTAGGTTCAGCCCTGGATACAGGTGCTGTTAGTGTGTGGCACAGTGGGGAAACTAAAGCCCAAAAATGCAAGGCTGATTCGGTATTTCTAAATCAGTGTAACCCACCTATTAATCTAAAGAAGAAAAAAAACACACAGTCATATCAGTGGATGCCAAAAATGTATTTGACAAAACTCAATATTCATGATAAAAACTCTCAGAAACTAGGAATTAAAAGTAACTTCCACAATCTGATAAAGGCATCTACAAAAAAACCCTACAGCTAACATCATACTTAATGGTAGAGAAGGAATGCTTTGTACTTAAAAATCCAAAACAAGGCAAGGAATCCATTCTCACCACTTCCATTATACATCATGTTAGAAGACCTAGCTAGTGCAGTAATAAAAAAAAAAAAAAAAAAAAAAAAAAAAGGCAACAGACTGGAAAGGAAGGAATAAAATTGTCCCTATTTGCAGAAGACATCACCCTGAATACAGGGTGGGGCAAAAGCAGGTTCACAGTGTTCGAATGGAAAATAATACAACAATTAATAATACAAAAATAAACTCCCATACTCATAACTGTAAACCTACTTTTGCCCCATTCTATATAAATATATCATGAAATATACACACACAAAAAAGCTATACTAAGTAACTTTAGCAAGATAGCAGGATATAAGATGAACACAAAAATTAATCATATTTCCATACACTAGCAGTAAAGAATTTGAAATCAAATTACCAAAACAGTGCCATTTACAATACAGTAGTCTCCCCCTTATATGTGGGAAATATGTTCCAACACTCCCAGCAGATGCCAGAAACCTTGGATAGTATTAAACCTCATGCATACTATGTTTTTCCCTATACATACGTACACTAATGGCATCTCTTTGCCACATCCTAATTACCATCATTACTGCTTTGTGCTTTGGGGCTGTTAAATAAAATCAGGGCTACTTGAACACAAGCATTGCCATACTGTGACGGTCAACTAGAGAACCAAGACAGCTACTAAATGACTTAACAGACAGGTAGCGTGTACAACATGGATACACTGGACAAAGGGATGATTCCTGTCCCGGGTGGGATGGAGCAGGACAGCCTGAGATTTCCTCATGCTAGATGTCATCATGCTGCCTAGAGCAATGGTGCAATTTAACATTTATGAATTGCTTATTTCTGGAATTTTCCATTTAATATTTTGGAGTGCACTTGGCCACAGGTAACTGAAACAATTTTTGTATGGAAAATAATATTTAATAATAAAAGGCTAATATACAAATTGACCAAGTGGAATGACTGGACGCCATGATGAGCACAGACCACCAGGGGGCAGATGCGCAATGCGTGGGTTCGCTCCCACAGCCAACAACACCCTCCACTCCCTCCCCCCTGGCCAACCAACCTCCCACCGTCCCTCCTTTCAGCCGGTCCCTCCACCTGGCTGGCCAGCCCTGATTCGCCAACCTCCCATAGCCCCTCTTACCCCCTGGCCAGTCTGCTAACCTCCTGTGACCCCTCTCCCTGGCCAGCAGGCCCTGATCAGTCCCGCCCCATCAGGAATGGGCGAGGTGGCCCTGATGGCCCTGATCGCTGGCCAGGCCGAGGGACCTAACCCGTGTGTGAATTCATGCACCAGGCCTCTAGTTTAATAAGAATAAGCTCACATACAAGTGTGTAAACCTATTTTTGTCCCATTTTACTTGTATAAAAATGGGTAATGGGGGAACTATTCAGCTCCCAAAAGAAAAATGCTTAAATATAAGTCTAGCAAAACACATGGAAAAATTCTGAGAAAAATACTGTTGAGAAAGAAGACAAGCTGGAAGAAAATATTTGCAAATTTTATATCTGACAAAGGACTTGTCTCCAAAGTATATAAAGAACTCTAGAATTGTGCACCTGAAACTTATACTGTATAATTTTGTTAACCAGTATTACCCCAATTCAATAAAAAGAAAAAAATATAAAGAATTCTCAAAAGAAAAGAAACAGCTCTGTTTTAGTAATGGGCAAAAGACCCCCAAAGAGAATATGGATGGCAAGTGAGTACATGAAAAGATGCTCAGCATCAGTCAATAGGGAGATACAAAGTAAAGCCAGAACATACCTATTAGAGCGGCTAAACTTTAAAAACTAACACTAAGAAGTGCTAGTGAAAATGTGGAGCAACTGGAACTCTCCTACATTGCCGATGAGAATGCAAAATGGTATCACTAAGGAAAACTGTCCATTTATGAAATTATACATTTTCCATCTGACCCAGCAATTCCACTTCTGGGTATTAACTGTAGAGAAATGTTTTAGCATCTCTATTCATAATCACCAAAAATTGTAGACAAGTCAAATGCCCTTCAGAAGGTGAATGGATAAAATTAGTAGATCCATATGATGGGATATACTGTTCAGCAATAAAAAATAGGGAATTATTGGTAATGTAACAACATAGATGGATTGCAGAGGTATTGTACTGAGGGAAGTAAGCTAGTCTCAAGGCTATGTCCTTTAAAAAATAAGCGCTAAGTACTGTATAAATCAATTTATAACATTTTGAGAAGTCCAGTGAAAAGATTAGGGATGTGGGACGGAGTGATTATAGAGGCAGCACAAGGGACGTTTTTGTGTTATAAGAGTCAATACTTTGAGTGTTAAAACTCAACAGTCCCCCAAAAGTTAATACATGCAAGGCAAATAAAACTTAAAAACAATAGCACCTAACTGACTTATAAAGAGTAAAATCTTTGTATTCAAGAAAGTATAGTTTTAGTGTTTTTCTGCAAAAAAAATATGTAAAAGTGAATGTGGTCATTTAATTAAAATGGAAAGACTGTACCTTCCCTGGGCAGCAAGAATTTAGGCTTATGTGCTGAAACCGGTTTGGCTCAGTGGTAGAACGTCGGTCTGCGGACTGAAAAATCCCAGGTTCAATTCCGGTCAGGGGCATGTACCTTAGTTGCAGGCACATCCCCGGTGGGGGGTGTGCAAGAGGCAACTGGTTGGTGTTTCTCTCTCATCGACGTTTCTAGCTCTCTTTCTCTCTCCCTTCCTCTTTGTAAAAAATCAATAAAATATATTATATAAAAAAAAAAAAAGAATTTAGGCTTATGCATTCAGGAGCATTTGACTAGTTTGCCCTGTAGGGCTGTGCTCAGCATGTTGATAGAATGACCAGAGATTAGTGCTTAAATAGATTTTCTTTGTTTTTTAAAAAATATATATTTTTTTAGTTGATTTTGTACAGAGAGGAAGGGAGAGGAATAGAGAGTTAGAAACATCGATGAGAGAGAGTCATCGATCAGCTGCCTCTTGCACACCCCCTACTGGGGATATGCCCGCAACCAAGGTACATGGCCTTGATCGGAATCAAACCCGGGACCCTTCAGTCCCCAAGCCGACGCTCTATCCATTGAGCCAAACCGGTCTCAGCTTAAATATTATAGATTTTCTTGCTATTCCTCCTACTCTTGTCTGTTTCTTAAATTCTTCCCTGAGAAGATTGAAAATTCCTACTTATGACCCAATTTTTCTTCCTTTTGTATGTTACATATGTCTGATAACCTCTCTTGAGACAGAATCATTATCCTGTTAGATAATTCCAAGTGCTCCCAGTTTTCCCCTGGCCTTTCTAATTTAAAAAATAAATGCACATTTTAAAAATATCCTTTTTAATTTTCAATTTATGACTAATTTCCCTCTACTATAGTCTCTTCGGTTTTCTTGTGTTTTTTACCTTCATTTTCTCTGGTTGTTGAGACCTCATCCTAACTGAAACTCTTGTGGCTGCAGTGGATGAGCTGGGTTTTGTCTGTCTCAGTAATTCCTGCACATTTTAACTGGAATAATGCATCTCACCCTCTCTCCCTCCACTTCATCAAAGCTTTTGCATCTAAAAAGAACAAAACCATTTGTTCTGGGGAGCTGGAATGACTCGAGTCCATTTTGCCTTTCCTTATGAGGCCCTATTCAAACTTGAGTAAATGGTCTGTAATCTAAGGGATCCGATTTTGCTGTAATAGGCATCTTTTTAAAAAGTCGAATGTAATGCTGAAAATCTATACCCTATTCACTGAAAAAGAGCTTACAGTTGTTCAAAACGCTTGAACAATAATTATTAGTTTTTAAGTACAGGAATTTGAAAGAATATGAAAAAAATTCTTGGGTATGTAAGACTCAGTTTCACTTTTTAGTCAAGCTTTGTGACATTTAATATTCTCATACTTATCATAACAGTTAAAAAAGGTTTTTCCCCCCTTTTGTAGGCTGTCATTATTTGTATTAAAAATAAAGAATTTGAAAAGGCTTCAAAAATTTTGAAAAAACATATGTCCAAGGACCCCACAACTCAGGTAAATATAATATTTTGCTCCTATAATAAAACTTAAATCCATGTCATTGTTTTTTTGTGGGAAAACAGGGAAAGAGTTGTTAGGAATGTTATGTAAATATTCAGCACCTTTAGCATGTTGTCTTTTATATCCAGGCTATTTTACTGTTAGATTGGCTTTTAAATTTTTATTTTTTATTACACAAATTTACGTAAGTCATTTATTTGCCCATTTATGTCTGGTTTGTGGCAGAACTTTAAGTGATCATCACCAGGTATCACATTATCAAGTTCTGTGTCACTTCTAACTTGACGGAATGCTGCCTAAATGCTGATTCTGTAGACCTGGGAAGCTTTTGTAAGGATGTAACTCCTATTTTCTGGTGCCAAAAGTTCTGTTCTTGTTTCTCCCCTCCCCTCCCTTTATTTTTCCTTTAAATTTTAATTTTTGTAAAGGTAACATGTACATAATACAAAATTCAAGAAGTACAACCAAAGAGCTTGGTGAAACACTCTTATCTCTGACTTAGCCATCTAATTCCTCTCTCTCTTCAGAGGCCACCAGTATTTTCTGCTTTTATCTTTTCAGAGATATTCTGTGTATATGCAAGCAAAAAAGTGTGCATGTGTCTGTATATGGATATCTGTATACACACATATCCATTCTTCCTGTTCTTCCAATATACTTATGTGAGCATATTCTACACACTAATTCGAGTATTTTTGTAAATTGCTTCTTTCACTTACTCTATCTTAGAGGATCATGCTATATTAGCAGATAAAGAACTTTTTTATCCTTTTTGTATTTTAAGTTCAAAAATCTTTAAGTAACTGTATAAAGGCACTTTAGATCCTAAGTTCTTCATCATTATTTTATAGCTGCATAGTAACGCATTGTGGCTGATCCATCATTTATTGACACACCCTTTGTGGTGGGCTCCCCTTCCTCTGTGTGTACCAGTGATTTTCATTGAGAATGTTGGGAAATTTCTGACATTGTTGTCTCAACTCATCATTGAATGTTTACTAGTGTTCTCATTTTCATGTTGCCAATATTGGTCCTTTGTATAGAAACTGAGAAGTGATCTCCTGAACATCATCCGTGAAAAGAACTTGGCCCACCCCGTTATCCAGAACTTTTCCTATGAGACCTTCCAGCAGAAGATGCTGCGCTTCCTGGAGAGTCACCTGGATGACGCAGAGCCCTACCTCCTCACGGTGGGCCTTGGCCTTCTCCCCCATAACCATGGCATGGCCTTGAGGGTGCGGGGGCAATGAGAAAAGGACAACTCTTGTTAGAAGTGAAAAGATAAATGTGTGGGAAAGACTGAATTATATCCACTATCTATCTTAATTAATTAAATGCCTTAAATATACAGAAGCAGAGATCCTGACAGAGGCAAACGAAACAAAGCTGGTCTCTCTTACCTCCCATTTTTACCTCCTCTACGTGTGATTAATCTGTGTGGTTGATACAGGGGAAAATTCAGCTTACAATTGATGGTGGTTCCCCGAGGAGATGAAGTCTGAGTTAAATTGGAAGAGTGGTTTATTAGATGTGGTATGATGGGGTTTGTTAACAGGAAGAAGGCATAATTGGAGAAAAGGTGTGATTAGAAGTATAAGGCAGAAGAGGCCAAATGAAGACACTCTTTAATTGGATCAAAGAGAGAAGAATAAAGAAGGGAAACAGTGAGGCTCAGCACAGTTTGTAGAAGAATCAGAGCCCTGTCCCTCCTGGAAGGTGGACGATGGTGAGGGAAAGCTGAGCAAAAGGGCTTTTCTTAAACCAGGATTTTGAGAATGTTGAAAATGTGGCTCATAATTATAGGTGTGCAAGACCTATATTAGGATAGTGTCAATGATCTTAGCAGTCATTTGGTATATCTCATTGGAATAATCAGGAGCAAGTGTCAGGATACTAGGAACACTTAATAGAATGTTTGGACATGTGAATCAGATTCCCAAGAAGAGGAACGTGAAGTAAAATCACATAATTAAAGAGTTTTTTCACTGTCAAGATGGGTAGCACTACTCAAATTGAGTTCTCCTTCAGCACAGAAACTATGAGCCATTTTTTAAAAATGAAAAGAAGGAAGTCTTGTAAGTTCTCTTGCTTTTTATGTCCTCTGGTTAATGCCTAGACTGGATTTATAGGTGAACATGTTTGCATACTGAGTGTGGTCATGGTTAAAGGAGAAGAGAATAATGAAATTCTGTGGCTTCCTCTTCCTGATGACATCCTTCCTTTCCCAGATGGCCAAAAAGGCTTTGAAATCTGAGTCTTCTGCTTCAAGTACAGTGAAGGAAGATAAACAGCCAGCACCAGAGCCTGTGGAAAAGCCATCCAGAGACCCTCCGAGGTGAGAGATGCCCTTATGATACTGGGTGTGATACCGGGTAAAATACTGGGGTGACCTGTTGGAAGCACAGTCTCCTCCACAGAGCAAGATCAGTTAGTTTGTCCTGGTGATCTGACCTCCTAACTTGTTACTGGGTTGCTCATACAAGGTACTGTGGAGTTACAGAGCACATCTGGGAAAATGAGAATATTGGAGACTGGATCCCTGACAGAAACTCCTGACTGGCTATCCTCAAAGGTTCTGTCCCCCGTTTCTCTTTGCCTCACCTATATTTACTCAGCACTTCCTTGTTGATATCTGATCTATTTAAATAAGAGTGTTCAGACTGAATCAGATTCCCAAGACCAGTTGTGAAAGCAGGGGTCACAAATTAAATGCCTTTGGGGGCTGGCGGGAAATGTAAAGGAATGAAGTGAGTCCAGGGTAACTGAGGGCTTGGACAGTGAACCGGGAGGGCATGCTTTCCAGCCTTTTGTGATTATTGCTGTGTGACTATCCAAGGATGCCCAAGTTTCAGTTCACACTTTTGTATGGGACGTACAATTTTTTTTTAAGCTTTCTAAAAAAAATTTTTTAATATATTTTATTGATTTTTAACAGAGAGGAAGGATGAGCGATAGAGAGTTAGAAACATCAATGGGAGAGAAACATCGATCAGCTGCCTTCTGCACACCTCCTACTGGGGATGTGTCCGCAACCAAGGTACATGCCCTTGACCTAAATCGAACGTGGGACTCTTCAGTCCGCAGGCTGACACTCTATCCACTGAGCCAAACCGGTCAGGGCTAGCCTTCTCAATTTTTGAATGTTGGTAGTTACCCAGTTTTTTAAAAGTACTTGCATAGGTCAAGCAAAGACACCTGTAGGCCGAGTTAGGCCTACAGGCTGCCAGTTTTCCCTCTGCTAACAGTTTTTACTTAAAGCACACTAGGCATTCTAAACGACAGATGAACTTTTTGAAAAGGCAGTTTTTTGCTGTTCCAAGAATGTATGGCACGCTTTTCTCAGGATCCCATTCTCAAGGGTATTGTAGGAGAAAATGGGCAGGATGGAGACCAGTCTTCCACTTATGTCACATGAGGGTTGGACTGGGACAGCTGGAGAGTTTATAGATTTCAAGGTGAAATTGCTGGGTTATCAGTAGGTTGCCCAGATGGACTTATATTTGTCAGACTCTGTGTAAAGTACTTACATAATGGAAAACACTGCTGTAGACCATACAGACTAACAGGTTTGATCACACACAAGCGACAGAGGTCTCTGGAATATCCTTGGCCCCAGTTCCTTTAAGGTTCTCTGATTTGGAGTTTAAAATTCATAATTCAACTTAAAAGCTTTTGTAAAGTAAGGTTATATCAAGCAATCTCCTGTTTTGTTTTTTTAAAATTTTATTTTTATTTTTATTTTAAAATATATTTTATTGATTTTTCACAGAGAGGAAGAGAGAGGAATAGAGAGTTAGAAACATTGATGACAGAGAATCATCGATCAGCTGCCTCCTGCACACCCCCCACTGGGGATGTGCCCGCAACCTAGGTACATGCCCTTGCCCGGAATCGAACCCGGGACCTTTCAGTCCACAGGCCGACGCTCTATCCACTGAGCCAAACTGGTCCCGGCTGTTTTGTGTTTTTTTTTAACCTCAATTTGAGGAGTCCTCTGCTAACATGACCATCAACAGTGGTGAAACTGCCCTGGCCAGTTTGGCACCATGGTTAGAGCGTATGGACTGAAGGGTCTAAGGTTTAGTTCCTGATCAAGGGCACATACCTTGGTTGCTGGTGGTGGGGGGTGTGCAGAAGGCAGCCAATCGATGAGTCCTTGTATCAATGTTTCTCTCTCATCACCCCCCTTCTTCCTCCCTTCCACTCTAGAAATCAATGAAGAAAAAGTACCCATAGGTAAGATTTAAAAAAACAAGCAGTGGTGAAACTGATCTTAGTATGTTGCCTTATTTGTAGGCAGCTACGGAATACTCCAACCACCTTTGGAATGATGACTCTAAAAGCAGCTTTCAAGACTCTGTGCGGTTCACAAGATTCTGAGGCGATCTTCTCAAAACTGGACCAGAAAGATCTGATACTTCCTAATAAAGCATCCCTCTCATCGCCAGCCCTCAAAAACAAGAGACCGAGAAAGGATGACAACGAAGGTTCCGCTCCTGCTGAGGGAGAGAGTGGCTCTGAACTGCAGCCCAAGAACAAGCGTATGACAATAAGCAGATTGGTTTTGGAGGAGGATAGTCAGAGTACTGAGCTGAGCTCAAGCCTCAACGCCTCTCAGGAAATCATTCCAGCACCACCATCCACACCTGCCGTTCTCAACCAAGCCCTTCCCAGGGAGAAGAATTCCAAGTACGAAGACCTTCTTTGTAGGAGTTTGGGGGCTGGTTGGTGGTCCTGGTTGGGCCTGGTATTGCTTCTGTGATGAAGTAAATTGCATCTAAGCTGTCTGCCACCAAGGCTTGCTCAGACTGCTAGAATGTGACTCGGGAGTGGGGAGAGACAACCTAGCCATGCGGGCCAGTTCTGAAGCCCCGCACGGGGGCTTCCAGGCATTGCACGAGGGCACGAGGATGGAAGGGTCGGAGCCTCCTACTCATTGCTGCTGCCATTTTTAGCAGACTTCTGAGTACCGTGACTACTAACTAGAGATTTACGAGTATTTACAGTTTTGCACTTTCTATGAGCTTTTGAGACTTGGCAAATTCAGTAAATATTTACTAACCTCTCACACTGTGCTAGGTTCTGTGGAGCAGTGGTTAGAATGCTTTCATCTTGCTCGCCCATCATGACCCCTGACCTCTCTTCTCAAGTTTTGCTACCTTTGTGCCCTCTGTGGGTCCTTCCTCCAGGCACACTGGTCTGCTTGCTCTCTCCGGATCACGCTGTTTTGTTTTTGTTTCTATTACTGTCATTGAATCCTTGCTCCCTGTCTTTCCCCATGATTGGACTGTCATCCCTCCATCATTGCTTGTCAGAATCCCATCCGTCTTTTAAAGGGAAGAGAAGCACTGTTTGTGGGCCAAGTACATTCATGTTTTATATTACAGTCTATTCAATCCTCAGATTATTAGCCCCATTTTATAAACGAGGAAGGTTCGGAAAAGTTACTAACTGGTCTTAAGTCATTAATCCAGGTCAGTCCGGACACACAGGCCCAGGGCCTGTACACTACACACACCAGGCTGCTTCCTCCATGAACCTCCCTTCTGTAAGTGACCTCGCTGGTCTCCCAAGGCTAGGTGTCCTGCGGGGCTGTGGCATCTGGTAGGTGAACCTCCTCAGGCACTGAGCTGCTCTGAATGCCTGCACCAATACCAGCATTTGGAAGTGAGCGAGTCACGGCTGGGCAAGTAGATGCAGCTCAACACACTTACTTTCATTCTGGACGTGATCTCCCTGACTTACAGTGATCTCGTGAGGTGTAGGTATTGCCCCATGAACAGATGAGAAAGCTGGAAAGAGGACCTGACCACAATAGTTTTATTATTGGGAGGATTTGTGAACGTTCAGACATGACCATCTCTCATGTGCCAAGGCTATGATATGAAGTATGATGGACACTAAAGCAGAGGTCGGCACAATACAGACCCTGAGTCCAATCTACCTGCTGTCTGTTTTTGTAAAGGATTATTAGAACGCAGCCACATCTATCATTTATGGGATGTCTGGCTGAGTTGTCTGCAGCTACTTTTGATGCTACCTTGAGTTGAGTAGTTGCAGCAGAGACAATAAGGCCTGCAACACTGAAGATCCTATCTGGCCCTTCACAAAAAAGGCCCCCCATGACCCCGGCTCTAAGGGAAGTGTGTGTGAGGGGCCTGGGAAGCTTCTCGAAAGGAGAGATGAGCCTGCTCAGCAGGGCTGGTGGAGCAAACCCTCCAGAGGAGCAAATGTTGAGCTGGCCTTGAAAGATGACCTCTTATTCAAGAGGTTATCAAGCATTTTGGGACCTGGGGGTTCTAGGCACCAGGAATCCCTTGCATAAAGGCATGAGAATACCTGGTATGTTCCAAAAAATGTCCTGTAGTCTATATGGCCGGGAATAAACAATGCACAGGGAGGAATAAAGTAGAAAAGTCTGAATAAGGAAATGGGCCAGAACTTGAATTCCTATTGTTTCTATCGAGTGGAGGTTCTCAAACTAGGCTTCATATCACAATTACCTATGGAATGTTTAAAAATATATATTCCCACGCCTCTACTACTGAATTAGAAGAGGCCAGGGAATGCCTGTAATCTGCTTTTCTAACTATGTCCAAATAATTCTTTTTTTTTTAAAATATATATATATTGATTTTTTACAGAGAGGAAGAGAGAGGGATAGAGAGTTAGAAACATCGATGAGAGAGAATCATCGATCAGCTGCCTCCTGCACACCCCCCACTGGGGATGTGCCCGCAACCAAGGTACATGCCCTTGACCGGAATCGAACCCGGGACCTTTCAGTCCGCAGACTGACACACGATCCACTGAGCCAAACCGGTTTCGGCTATGTCCAAATAATTCTAACCTCAGTAATCTGAAGGTTTGATGAGATACCAGTGAGGGTTTGTTAGAGGTGCTGAGGGAAAGGAGAGTGGCTAGACCCTGCTGTCAGGGGAACAGTCGGGACCTAGAGGAGCTGGGCCAGTGGGCGAGAGGAAGGCAGGATTAAGGTTTGTCACCTGGAGGGTAGGGCCATGAGTGAGTAGGTTTTTATATCTCCCACGGCAGTTGGCATGAACAAGTGCTTACTAGGTGTTCGTTCGCCAAATAAAATTATTGGTTTTTGCAATTTAAGGGATCACATGCAAAACTTCTATAAGGCCAGCAAAAGATTAACATTTTAGGTTTTGTGGACCACATGTGTGTCTGTTGTGTATTTTTTGTTTTGTTTCCTTACAATGCTTTGAAAATATAAAATTCATTCTTAGTTCAAGGGTTGTTCAGAAACCAGGAGCCACAGGCTATCCTGGCTTTCCCCGGAGCACACTGCCACTAATGGGATGAGAATCCAGATTGCAGCCCCTTCCACAACACGAGAAGTTAACAAGTACCAAACCATTTGTACGTGTAATAAATGCCAAGTTGAGAGTAGGTGCAGGGAGTTACCACTGAACTGCAGAGGCTATCTGCAGAAAGAGTGAACACCTACTCCGGTGAAAATGACAGACCCAGCGATGAAAATCAATTTTATCCCAGCACTAGGATACGTAGGTAGAAAACTTAAGACTTTTATTTATAAATAGTAATTAACAGCTAATTTCCTGAGAAAGAAAAGTATCCGTTGTCTCAAATTCGTTACTCTCAGAAATTACATTTTGGGAGATAGGATTCAATTAAAAAACAAAGGAAAGTAGTCAATTAGGTGATTTCACAGAAAACTCATGGAACTCAAGGAATTCCCCCCCCCCCCCCTAAACCTAATGCACTTATTAAGCAAACTGCTTTCATTATTCATTTGCAAAATAACCAGAGAGCCTTAAAAATACCTATTTTGAGGGTGGTGGGGATGTATTCAGTGCTTAGCTTGAGGAGTCCTGCAGGCCAGTTAGGGTTTAGGAGTTGTATGTAGGTGAATTTTGAATGTGGTCACAGCAGAATGAGGAGAAATAGAGGGCTGCAAGCGAGCCAGGGACAGAATATGGAAGACCTAGGATGAATGTTTTACACCTTGTCTCATTGATCTCTCCGCAGATTACCCAAAGGCAAGTGGAACAGTTCTAATGGGGTTGAAGAAAAAGAAACTTGGGTAGAAGAGGACGAACTGTTTGATGTTCAGGGTAAGCTAGGAGATTCTCCTTGGTTTCTCCTTGACACTCTGAAGTGTAAGATGCATATTTCTATCACATCAATGTTTCAGAAACTGCTTTGTCTCCCATCTAGAAAAATTTCAGTTCAGGAGTCAGTTATATGTTCTTTCCCATTAAACAATGAAGACTGTCAAAGCAGAACTTTGTATTTAATGAAAATGCCTGGTTTTGTTTTAATAAATCCTCTCTTTAATTGTAATTGATGTTCTTCCTAAAGACTTGTAATTAGAAAAGGTAGAAGTGGTCATTCCCTGCATTTTTGTTTAAATACAATATCTCTTACCAGTTTCTACATGTTTTCTAAGATGAGCTTTGCTTTTCCATAATTATTATTGAACTTACTAGCATTTGCATTAGAATCTCTCCCATCACATATTTCATATTCTAATGGAAATATCTAAGAGCTAAACCTGAATTTTGGAGATTCTAAGCACTTTTATAATGCACCACTACCCAATCAATTGCCACTTCCTAGGTTTTGTCTTTTAGAAGTAGCTTCAGTGGCAAAAACATAGTTGGCAAGATCAAGATTAAAGAGAAAATGGAGGAAGTAACAAAATCATTAACCATGGCATTAAATAGTTAAGAACAACAGGATATAAAAGTTCTAGGAAACAACCACTTCCAATGCAGTACAGACGTGTGTCAGCTTTAGAAATATGCATCCACTATAGTATGAATTACTTAGTAATTTAAAAATAAATAATCTGCTCTGAGCCAACTTCTTCCATTTTTTAGGAAACACTGCTGGGACAGTGGCACCTGCTGAGACATCTACCCTGTTTCCCCGAAAATAAGACAGTGTCTTATATTAATTTTTGCTCCCAAAGACGTGCTAGGTCTTATTTTCAGAGGATGTCTTATTTTCGGGGAAACACGGTAGCAAGTTTCATGTTTATGCAACGTTGCCTTGTTTTGCAGCTTTTTAACCAGCTCTCATTGCCTTGAAATGGCATGTCTTTTATACCTGTATTGGAGGCCCGGTGCGCAGATCAGTGCACACTGAAATTAATTAGAAGGTGGCTGTCGGGGTGGGACTGGGCGAGACAGGCTGGACATGCCCTGGAGCCAACTTCCCGTGGGTCCCTCCCTAGCTGGCCACACCTGGGGGAGTGCTGGGGCTCGAAGGGCATCTGTGGAGTTAGCCGGGTCCCTCCAGCAGGGTGGGGTCCCTTGGCCTGGCCTTCAGGAATCAGGCCAAAACCAGCAGTCTGACATCCCCCGAGGGGTCCCTGAGTGCAAGAGGGCATTCTGCAAAGTTGCTGTCGCTTAACTCCTGTGTTGAGTATCTGCTCCTTGGTGGTCAGTGAGTATCACACCTACCGGCCAGTCAGCCAGTCATTTAGCCTCTAGACTAGAGGCACAGTGTACGAAATTTGTGCATGGGTATGGTTTCTAGGCCGCATGCGTGGAGATCGAAGCATGAGTAAATGGTATGGAAGGGAAAGTCCCAGCTGACCTCTGGGCCCTGGGCAGCACTTGGGCCCCTGGGTATCCCCTCTGCCTGAGTCTTTGGGCCCCCATCCAGCTCCCTCAGCGCCTGGGAGTCGGTGGTGGCCCCACCCTGCCTCCAGTCACCATCTGAGGTGATTGGGCCCTGCTTGCACCCCCTTGGCCTGGTGCTGCCCACTCACCTGCTCCACCATCTCGCCACGGTCCCGCTCTCATTGGGGCTGGCAGCGCCTCCACTGCCGCCCACTGCCAATACCGTGCCACCCCCTGGTGGTCGGCGCACGTCAAAGCAAGGGGTCGAATGGACAATTTGCATATTAGGCTTTTAATATATAGGAATCTTTTTTTTCTTTTTAAAGAGACAGTGGAAGGGAGGGGGGGGAGGGAGAGAGAGAGAAACATCTTGATGTGAGAGAAAAGTTGACTGACTGCCTCCTGCACATGCCCAAACCAGGGTCAGGGATCAAGCCAGCAACTGAGGTACGTGTTTTTGACTGGAATGGAACTGGGACCCTTCAGTCCACAGACGGATGCTCTACCCACTGAGCCAAACCAGCTAGGCATTACCCTGTTCTTTTGTTTAAGGAATTGAACCTAATTTTTCTTATATAAAATTATCAGGGATTTAAAAAATCTGACATGAGATAGTAAAAGTTATTTCAAAACAGTAGTTAGCAAGAGGTTATAAAGCAGAAATCATGTATGTATAAGAAGTATATATATTAGGGCTTTAAATACCACAGACAGTAATTTTAGAAAATGTTACGTTTTATTAAAGAGCACCAAATCCATCATTAACCAACATTTATTAATGTCTTTTTGTAAAGTATTTGCTGTGGACAGATTTTCACGGGCTGAAATGATTGTTATCTTGCAAACAAAGGACAAAACCAAATTCTCCTTTAGTGATATCCTTTCTTTTCTCAAAGTGTGTGAAAATTCAATCAAGCTTTCCCATTAGAGACATTTTATGTCTTTTTCTGGTGTTTGTGCAGAGAAAGCTGAACTCTGAAATGACTCTACTTTTAATGTTTTCCAGCTGCACCAGATGAGGAGAATACAGCCAGTGTAACAAAAAAGCAGGTAATTTAAAATTCTTTTCTGGTTGAGTGGGTAGAACAGAGGTAAAGTAAGTGCTCACACCTCACAGATAGACTACCCACACACCTGGCAAAAAATCCTATGCGTTTTTCTGATGATCCAAACGAAGTTAAACACAGCAGATCCTCAAGTAACGTCCTTTCGATCGATATTTTGTTATGATATTGATTAGATGCTATAGAAACTTAGGTCTTGTTTCTATTAATTAATTAGCCTAGGATAAAGTTGGTTTTGTTATATGTCCTCTTACTTAAAGTTGCCTTAAATGAGGGCTTACTTGCAGTTAGTTATTCTCTGAAAGAAAAATCTAGTTGAATAGCAACCTGACACATGTTCCTGACCATGAACAACACACGTTTGAACCTTGACTACATACGTGATTATTAATTGAAGATGAAATGGCAGGACATTGAACATTTAAATATCCAAATCCAGTGTTAATTTATTATCTGTATTGGGTTTTAAAAACATAAAACTTTTTTTTGGGGGGGTTCATATTATTCTCCTAGATTTCTTGAGTTTACCTCTTCACTGTATGGAAATGTAGATAAGTGGAGGGCTAAGTTATGATAAATCTTTTTGTTTTCTTTTGCAGAAGTGGACTATAGAAGAGAGCGAGTGGATTAAGGCTGGAGTGCAAAAATTTGGGGAAGGAAACTGGGCTGCCATTTCTAAAAATTACCCATTTGTTAATCGAACAGCTGTGATGATTAAGGATCGCTGGCGGACCATGAAAAGACTTGGCATGAACTGAAACAAATTTTGCTTCCACAGAATTCACAGGAGCATAGTTCCTAATAATAGCCCCGATAGTCTGCTTTCTTTCAGAAGTTGGGCTGGGATGAAAATTTTGGGCATCCTCCTCTGACGTGGGGGAGGTCCTAGTTCCACTTCATCGCTGTTGGAGATCATGGAGCTACAAGTCAAGTATACTCCATGTCCTTGGCAGAGACGACAGGCAGACAGCTTTTACAGTGCCAGAATATCATTAGTATTTCCCTTCTTCAGTGGTTTGCTTGTATTTCAATTCCTGGTGATCAGTAGAACCTTCTCCTAGGAAATGGTGGCGTCTGTTAGGAGCACTTATGACTCCATGACCTGTTAAAACCAGCAACGTGAGCATTATTTGGAGTGAACTTGTTCCAGGTAAAGCTTTGGCCTTTTGATGCAAATGCAAAGGAACTTTATCAGAGCTGATGAGAGACCAGTCCTATTTAACCTGTTGTGACATCAACACCTAGATCTACTCTTGGCATTTGCTCCTAATATTTGCTGGACTTCACAGGCAGATTTAACCTCTACTTATGTGGTTGAATCCCAGTGTGTTTTTTTGGTGATTGTAGATACGTTTAGCCCCTTGCCCCATTCTCTCTTCCCAATTCTCGTCCTTATGCTGGACTTTTAAAGCTAAAAAAAAAAAAAAAAAAAAAAAAAAGCCCAATCCTGATCGAATATAAAAGCCTAATCCCATTCTTTGTGAAAATGGTTGCTTCCACCCGATTCCCTAATTGTGCTATGTTAGTGTCTTGCACTGGAATTCAACATTTCCTTTTGTACTGTGTTGTGCTTGCTGTCTCTCTTGGACATCCTTAAAGACTGTCTTTTTAGCAAAAAGAAAATTCAGTAAAGTGTTTTCTGTAATCATTTTTTAAAATTTGAAAACTAATTATTGTCCATAACTTGTAGCCTTCTTCATTAAAGTCTTGCTTCTCTCAAATAGAAGTGGCTGTTTAATTGCAGCTCAACGTGTATGAACACACGGAGGTTGCAAAATGTTAAACAACTTCTGCTGAACCACGCTGACTGTTAAAAAACGATGTTAAACTCTCCTGGATATTGTCGTCCTTGGAAGCCACCGGGAACCCTCTTTCTCTTTGGAGTGAAAGATGTAAAGAAATGCTAAAGTTTCAAATTCATCCTGTAGTTACAAGTCGGAAGCTTTGTACAGCTCTATTACCTGTTAACTGTGTGTTGGGGGGGTTTGGTACTACTATTTTTTCTGTCAATGAACCCCAAATGAAACGACAATGAGAACTTGATCTTCTCTCAATACAGCCACCTCCCCTTGATCTGGTGGCAGCCTGTGTGTTCTCCCTCTAAACTGGATTCAGGATTCCAGAATCTTCTCCTCTCAACTCACTTCAGTAAGATGGCGTGCTCTGTGTAGAAGAGTGACACTGCAATGATTTAGGGAAGCAACATATCCTAATCAGCATTTCTCAAATGTGAAAAATGTACAGGTCCATGAACATTTTTTTAACATCACTTCAGTGTTGTAATGTTAATGAAGTGTGTACAAACAAAAAACAGACTTTGGCTTCTAGAAACTTACCATGTACTGTTGACTGTTTCGCTGAGTCTAAGTCACTGCTCACAACATGAGCAGTGTAAAAACTGTGGCAGGGGGGAACGTGGGTGGGGTGCCTGTGCCACAGTGTGCGGAGGAATGGTCCCAGTCTCTCCCACCTCCACCTTAGCAAGAAGAGTGCTGTGACATCCGCTCTCCTCCGGAACTGAACACAATCAGAAGTCTGTTCCTTGCTTATTCCCTTGTGATAGTTCAGGTATTACACTTGGAATCAATGTGATGAATCTGAAGCAAGACTTGCTTAGAAACTGTTAATGCTGTTTTGTTTTTTAAGATTATGGCTGAAATAAAAACATTTAGACATTGGCACGACTCAGAGTGACGGAAACACTGTCCTGGTGGGTAAGAGTGTGAGGCCCACTCAGGGGCCCTGCAGTGCCAGCTGTGCTTATGGATGGTGAGCCAGCCCCGGAATCTCTGAAAGTCCATTTCTGTCTTTTGCTCACTCTTCACCCATTTAAATGTTTGCACATGTTTTCATGGGTTTGCACATGTTCTCTCAACTATAGAATTGGGTAGCATCTAGCAATTTGATTTGAATAAGATAAAAATCTCCCCAGCCAACTTCTGTCTATACTATTCAGATGACTGTAAATAAACTTACTCAATATTTATCCCCAAGAAGCAAGAACTAAAAAAGAAAAAAAGAAAAAAAAAAGAGAGAGCCAAAAGGAAGGATGGAGATAAATCGTAGTAGATTCTACCTCGCCCCCAGGAAGTAGGTTTGGTAAGCCACTAAGTTTTTTTAGGTGGAAGGAAAAACTTCCTGTGACCCATACAGTATCATGCCAGTTCCATTGTGAATATCTATGTGTGGCCCTGAAGCCGCCAGCCCAGGTATGACTTGTGGAGTTAATGATTATCCCAGAAGTTATATAAACTTACTTGGCTCCACTGGGCTACCGGCAGTTCACCTGCAGAGGAGTCTCCGGGAACCAGCATGTTCCCTTTGCTCATTGGGGTTGGACTGATGGTTCTGAACCTAGTGACCCCTGCCAGGAGCCAGAAAACAGAACCCCTTAGTGGGTCTGGGGACCAGCCACTCTTCCGGGGAGCAGATCGCTATGACTTTGCCATCATGATCCCTCCAGGAGGCGTAGAATGCTTTTGGCAATTTGCCCACCAAAGTGGATACTTCTATTTCAGCTATGAGGTAGGTACTTGGGCTCGTCTGGCCACATGGGAGAATTTTTTTTGTTTCCTTTTGTAAAGTGGGTCAAGTCCTAGACTAACATGAGGTTCTGGTTGTCTTTATTATGCTGTGATTCTCCATCTGTTAATGAAATGGACCTGCAGTTAGATGGAAACTCTTGGATGAATAATCACTAAAACATATGGCTTGGCTTCCCAAACTGGAGGCTATGGCAGTGTGCTCAAAACCAGGAGACAAACAGGGTGCCACTTCTGGAGAAATCATCATCACATTTACTCAGATTTGGAGATGAGAAAATACATTTTTAAAATATTAAAATAAGGCGGATCAGGAAAGTCACATGAACTTTAAAGAGATTTCAAAAAGAGACCAGTTTATGGGGCTGGAAGAGCAACATTTAGTCTCCTGCCTTTAGGGGTAATTCTGGCAAACAGGGTCACCGGCTCAACATTTCTCTATCGGGCCAGACAGTCCTGTTTGTGTTAAGAAGGTAAATGTTTTCAACCTGCCTGTTCACAGGCCCAGTACTTCAATCCATCCCACTCAATAGTGAAGTTAGAGGCGGTTCATTCCCTTGGTTTTTCATTTTAGAAACCTTAACTTTCTAATCTGCTCACATAGTAATAGATTCTGTATACTGACCTTACTCCACTGTAACTTCAAGACTTATTTTGCCGAGCTGCTGTGGCTCCAGGGGTCACCATTCGATTCCCCGTCAGGGCACATGCCCAGGCTCCATCCCCAGGAGGGGACGTGCAGGAGACGGCCAATAGATGATTCTCATCATTGATGTTTCTATTTCTCCCCCTCTCTGAAATTTAAAAAATGTTTAAAACACAAAACAAAAACTTAAATGAACTTACCAGAGCTTTTTCTTATCTTTAAATTGTGATAAAAGAGTAGTTATAGACAGCTCACTGTAGCCTGGGTTTATCAAGACCCAGCGTGGCAGTGAGTGCCTACTGAGTGCCTTATTCACTAGGAAGCATGAAATAAGCCCAAGTGTGTGAGGACAATACTAGGGAGCTCAAAGCCACGCTAGTTCACTCAAGGCTACAACCAGAATCTTGCACACCAGCCGATGTAGGCCTGCTGTGAGGTCTGCGACATGTCTTTTTTATAGGAGTGCCATCTGCATTTGGGGCAATTCTTTGTTTCTAACATGGCGGATGTTCATCTTTGCTGTCTCTCCTCACCCCACTGCACACCATTAACTCAATCCAAATCCCCAGAGGGTGGACAGCACCATCCCTGACTGAGAACCACATAGGATATCAATCTTTCCATTTAACTAGCTTCTTGGTGACGTATCAGGGACCATTCTCCCTTTCATGTGTCTTGGCAGGTTCAGCGGACACTGGGAATATCACATGACCGGCATATTGCTGCCACTGCACATACCCCACAAGGTTTTCTCATAGAAACCTCTCAGAATGTCCGGGGCCAGATTAACTTCTCTACCCACGAGACAGGTCTGTTCTTATAACTATGGCTATTCTAATAATTGTCTTTTTTTTTTTTAATTGGGAAAATGATGAAGTATTGAAATTAAGTGGCTAAGATGTGAAAACCCTGGCTTTTTTTTTGCATAGGATGGTAAAACAGTAGGAAAAACTTCAGCCTGGAACACCATAAACCAGTTTTCCTGGAGACAGCCAGTGGCCAAGTCTCCAGGTGACTATAACTCCAGGGTCCAGAAACTCAATTTTATCTTATCACCCCCAACTAACCAGAATATGGGAAACAGACTCGTTAAAGATACAGGATTTCATTTAATAAATTTATAATGGGATGACATCTATTTCCAGTCATCGGAATACATGACCCAGTTACCAAAAAGCACCCAGAACAAGAGGAAATGCACAGCCATGAAAAATATCCACCTCCCACAGCAAAGCACTTCTCTAGTCACCAGCAAAGTCCTACAGCCAGATCGAGCCTGTCCCCACCTGGGACAGCACCAGTCAGCAGCAATCTACCAGCCAGGTGTACAAAAAGATGTTTTTCAAGGAGCATAGACGATCCTTCACTTTGTAGCATTATGAGATATTTAGCATCTTTGGCCTCTCCATGCCAGTAGTGCCTTCCAACCATTTCGATAAATACACTCTCACACACACAAGGGGAGGCGACCCCAGCTGAAAACCAGCACCAGTTTATGCCCCAAACCATCAGTCCTGTACAGACCACCTAGCAGTTAATCATTTCTTTCATTCACAATACATCAATTTTTGCCTCGTTTAAGTTTGAGGTGGTATCCTCCAGCTCTTAATTTCAACTCAATTTGAGAAATTCCTTGAGATAATAGGTTGAAAAAGGGGAAGGAAATACTAATTTCTCTACAGACCGTTAGTAATATCTGCCAAAACATGATTATTTTAAGTAATGTTGAGTAAAAGTTTCATGTAAGATCAATAATACCTTAATGAAAAAATGAATAAAGTTTCATGTAAGATCAGTGTAACTTCTACATCAAACGTTGGATCGCTGTACTTGCTAAGTAAAAAGGTGCTAATTAGCACACTGACCCCTGGAGAACCGTTATCTCCACACCTAGAGAGTGAGATCAACAAAGGGTGGGAGACCAAGACTTGGTAATGATCCAGGAATTCCTACAGGTTTTTATCAACTTTGTCTAAAAAATCAGCAAAATCACTTTGGTTCTGTGCAAGTGTACCTCAATTTTGGAGTCTTCTATGAAGAGCCTGAGATAGACCATAAACAGAACGAAAGAAAACAACTGAATAACACTCTGGATGCAATTGAGGTAACTGTTTTGTGGGAAACATCCATGGAAACAGATTTTAAATTTGGAAAAAGATGAAAAATATGGGAGTGATAGTATTTGAGCTGAGAAACCAAACAGGCAAGGGGATTTGTAGCCTTTAGTTTTTATGACTTGGAATTCTTGTTTTATACTTTTTGGCTCTATAAATGAGCCCATTTTGTACATTTCATATGAATGAAATTATACAATGTAGCCTTTTGCCTCTGGCTTCTTTCATTTAGTATGTTTCTAAGGCTCATCCATATTGTAGCATGTATTCAGTATTTAATCCCTTTTTATTGCTGAATAATATCCTATTGAATGGATATACCACATTAGTTACCCACCCATCAACTGACAGATATTTGCATTGTTTCCATTTTTTTGGTCTATCATGAATAATGCAGCTGTGAACGTTTGCATAAGTTTTTGTGTAAATGTGGTTTTATTTCTATATAAAGTAGTGTACTGGGTCATATACCGTGTTTCCCCGAAAATAAGACATCCTCCGAAAATAAGACCTAGCGTGGAAAGATAAGCATGGAAAGACCTAGCACATCTTTGGGAGCAAAAATTAATATAAGACTGTTTTATTTTCGGGAAAACAGGGTAGTAATTGACTGAGGAACGGCTGTTTCCCACAGTGCCTAAACCATTTTACTCTCCCACCAGCAGGAAATTTCTCCACATCTTCATGCTCGTGTGAAATGGTATCTTCTGATTTTGAATTGTTTCTAATGTCACTGAGCAACTTTTCAGGTGTTTTTCAGCATTTGTATATCTTCTTTGGAGAAATGTCTATTTAAATCCTTTGTCCACTTTTTATTTTTTAGCTAGAGAGCATCCAGGTGAGGCTAGATGGGGGTAGGGAGGCATCCTTTCCTTATTTCATTGTCTGCCCCACAGGAAAGTACACGAAAGGTACAGAAAAATATCTTTCACATGTGGCGTCATTACAACTTTGCCCGCATGAGGAAAATGGCTGACTTTTTCCTTCTCCAATCAAACTATAACTATGTGAACTGGTGGTCGATGGCCCAGAGCCTTGTGATTGTTCTTTCTGGGGTCCTGCAGCTGTACTTCCTGAAGCGCCTCTTCAATGTCTCAACGACTACTGACACAAACAAGCCAAAATGCTAAGCAAACATAATTACAGTGTGCTGGCTCTTTTCTTCTGGGGCGGAGTCTTATCAAAGCTTTGTTAAATCAGCTTTGTAAAGTTACTGGGGGGGGGGAATAATCAATTTCTCCTATTAGAAAGTTTTAGTTTACTGCACTCATCTACTGAGGCAAAATGGCAATAAAGGAATAAAAATGTGTAAGTTTGGATGTTGCCTATTTCTTTTCTTTTTAAAAAAAATATATTTTATTGATTTTTTAGAGAGAGAAAGAGAGGGATAGAGAGAAACATCGATGAGAGAGAATCATCGATCAGCTGCCTCTTGTACACCCCCTACCGGGGATGTGCCGGCAACCAAGGTACATGCCCTTGACCGGAATTGAACCTGGGATCCTTCAGTCCGCAGGCCGACGCTCTATCCACTGAGCCAAACCGGTTTCGGCAAGATGTTGGCTAATTCTAATGTACGCACCAAATGCTACTACCAGTCCCTTAACCTTCACCAAGTCTATTTATTTATTTTAAATATTTTTTATTAATTTCAAAGAGAAAGGGAGAGGGGGAGAGAGAGAGACAGAAACATCAATGATGAGAGAGAATCAAGGCACACCCCACATTGGAGATCCAGCCCACAACCCAAGCATATGCCCTGACTTGGAATCTATCCTTGACCTCCAGGTTCATAGGTCGACACTCAACCACCTAGCCATGCCAGCTGGCCACTACGTCTATCAGAGGTTAAGAGAACTGGTGAAGAGAGAAGAGTTGAGAAAATGGGTCAAAAAGCATTCTACAATTGGTAGAATGCTTCTTTGTAGTTAAAAATGTTTTATTTTTAGAGACGTCACCTTTGAGATTTCAACAGTATAATCATTAGAAAATTTGTTTTATAATATAGGTAGTTTAAAAAAGATTTCCCTACGAAATTACTTTCATTTTAAAAATATTTTAATTCTAAAAATGACTTCAGGAAGCACATGGAAGAATGAAGGCAGTAAATTATTTCAGGGTCTCTGATTAGTGCTTTTTGTCCAGTCCGGTAAGTTAAGTAAAGGTTCATAAGGGAAATGTTTTAGGAAACCAAGGTGATGAAAATAACATTCAATCTGAAATCACCATCCAGGAAAAAGATGCAGAAAACAGCTTGGAAAAACCAAAATAATATAATCAAATTATACTCATTAGATCCTATGCTTAGTAGCAGAAACACTCAGTATATATGCAACATAAAAACAATTCTTACCACTTAGTCAGCACCTCTCATTTGCTAGGCAAATTCTGAAAACCATTCTTAGGTAGATGGTTAAAGCTGTTTTTTGAAACAGAAGAAAATGAAGCTCACTAAAGTTTCAATGACTCATCTAAAACATCAGAGCTGGTAGATATTAGAACTAGGTTTATGATCCAAGTTTTCTCCCACACCACACAGCACTCATCATAAGGAAAACTAGAAGAATAAATTGCTCTTAGTATTTTATCCAAATTTCATTTGTAAAATCCCAGACACAGCCAACTATTCTTATACAGCAATATCTACCTTCCTAGTATTAATAAGAAAACCTGTTGTATTCTTACCATGAGGTTGGAAAAGTGTTATCACAGATAACAATAAGCTATTCTTGTCCTCAATTCCAATGATTTAGAATCTTTTACTGAAAATAAGAAGTCCTGATTGAAATATAAAAAACACGATACTCTATTTAGTAACAAACACAAACACCCGAAATGGCCATTTTTGACCCATTCCTGCTCAGTAAGAATCCAGCCTGCATTTGTCCATATCGAGCTAAGTAGTCCCTGGAGAGATCACAGTGTTGGCCAAATTCAACAAGATGGTGGAGCCTACACAGACACGGGAAACAAAGCTAGGCCCTTCCACACAGCCACAAGTCCTCGCGATGATTTCGTTTTAAGTCAACGTCTCTTCATGTCGTACATATTCCCCAATGTCTGCTTGATGAAATACCACAATCGCCATGGGGTCTACTCTCCTGCAGTCTTGTGTAGACTTTGCTGCCACCCCAAAACCCTGGGATTCAAAAGAAGAGACACTGATTCACTCAAGTCATTCAATAAACACGCACTGAAGGCTGGAAATAACAAAAGACATTAAAAAAAAAAAATCACAGTTCTCTGAGAAACACACACGGTGCTGAGAATTTATAGTCTCTCAAGCCCACAGGTCGAAAAATACATCTTTCTTGAATAAAACGTAACAGCTACCAATCTGTACTCACCAAAGGGATGTCTGCCATGGAGTACACCACCACTCCCTGGTACTGAGACGTGTTTTCAGTGATTCGACCCAGCCCAGATTTCAACACGTGATTCCCATACAGGAAGGACTGCTCTGCTCCAGGCTTTATCCACACTTTGTACTACATAAACAGAGAATAAAAATCCCAAAACAAAAATGTTAACAAGCTATATCCCTGCAGATAAGCTAGCAGCTGGATCTATTGATAGGATGGATTTCTTGAAAGATGCATATCTCCCTCAAATTGTTCATTTCCTAAACATTACTGCCAGCTTCTTTCTTTCCTCCACTCTATGAGCAACTTCTCCTATGGATAGTTTAAACGGCTCTTTTTCTGGACCCACTCTGCCCCTCATCAGAGCCACCTACTTGCTTTTCGATCTTCAGCTGGGTCTTTGCGCAGGCTTTTCTATTTTGCTGGAGATAATTACAACGGGTAGTCAGGGGACTCCTGTCACGGGGCCCTCGCCATACCTACAAACCTCTCCACGTGCTGGTGCTGATGCTGGTAGCAGAGAAGCTGCCCAACTCTCTGCGTCCAGATAGAGGTGGCCCTCAACCCTGACCTCCTCCATCCCCAGTGGCCGGCCGGAAACCCACCCCACAAACCTTGGCATAGGGGGCCAGGTAATCCAGAGCTGTGATGTGCAGCCGGAATTTGTGGGTCTTCGTGAATTTCCCGAAGCAGGTCCCCAGCGACACCAGCTTGTCACCGGAGATGTTGGCGGCCAACTTCAAGATCTTTTCACTAAAAGGGCGAGGAAGAAAGAGGTGTCATTATAAGGGCGCGAGTGTGACCCAGACCCCTCACCCCCACCCCCACCCCCACCACCCGGGTCTGTGCTGCCCGCCGGGCCCTCCTCACCTCACGTAGTACACGCGGTCGTTGTGCAGCCTGAAGCAGTAGGTGCCGTCGGGCCTATCGACCAGCAGCTGAAGGTTCTCCCCGATGCTGCGGACGAGAGGCGCACTGGAGGCCGCGTCCTCACGGCCCGGCCCGGCCCCGGCCCCGCGCCTCACCCCGCCCCCTTCCCTTCCCACCACACGCACACCCTCCTCCGCCCCTCCCGCGCTCTTACTATTTCGCTATCTTCTCAAACATGACGCGAGTCTCCTCTTCAGTCAAAGGCCGCATTTTCCCGCTGTTGAAACACCGGATCCTCGTGCCTCAGCCGCCGGAAGAGGAAGTCAGCCGCCAGCCTGCCTCTCTCCCTGGCAACCCCCAAAGCCCGCTTCCCATTGGTTCCCCCCACGCCAGCGCGGCCCAATCAGAAACCGTCAAGGCGGCACGTGCGCCCCCGTGACTTCCGGTCCTAGACTCGGCGTCAGCGCCCTCTCTGGGCCGGAAGGGGAAGTGACGCTGCTGCCGGGAAGATGGCGGCGATGGAGGCAATCCCGTCCTCCGCGACGGCTCCCGCCACCGCCACCGCAGCGGCCCTCGGGGAGGTGGAGGATGAAGGGCTCCTGGCGTCGCTGTTCCGGGATCGCTTCCCGGAGGCCCAGTGGCGGGAACGGCCCGACGTGGGCCGCTACCTCCGGGAGCTGAGCGGCTCCGGGCTGGAGCGGCTGCGGCGCGAGCCCGAGCGCCTGGCGGAGGAGCGCGCCCAGCTGCTGCAGCAGACGCGCGACCTGGCCTTCGCCAACTACAAGACCTTCATCCGCGGCGCCGAGTGCACCGAGCGTATCCACCGCCTGTTTGGCGACGTGGAGGCTTCGGTGGGCCACCTGCTCGACCGCTTGCCCAGCTTCCAGCAGAGCTGCAGGTGCGGTGGGCGGTGCCAGAGGGGCTTTTAAACAACTGCAATAGTGACATTTACTATAGTGGATATGGCACACAGTTAACGGAGCGCTTACATGTCCCAGGCTCTCCGAGCACTTTATTTTTATTTTTTAAATATATATATTTTATTGGTTTTTACAGAGAGGAAGGGATAGGGATGGAGAGTTAGAAACATCCATGAGAGAGAATCATCGCTCAGCTGCCTCTTGCACACTCCCCACTGGGGATGTGCTCGAAACCAAGGTACATGCCCTTGACCGGAATCGAACCCGGGATCCTTCAGTCCGCAGGCCGACACTCCATCCACTGAGCCAAACCAGTTAGGGCTCTCCCAGCACTTTATTAATTCATTTAGAATTCACAACAGTCTCCGAGGTAGGTACTGTTTTTTCCTTTTTATGTATGAGGAAGTTGAGATGGAGAGGTTAGTGATGGTCGAAGGGTCCAGCCCTTACGTTTACTAGTCAAAATTGGAACCCAGCAGCACGTCCCTCCCTCAGAGGATTGTGTGAGCAGTACACAAAGAGAATCCATGCAAAACAAAGAATTGGGCCCTGACATACTTAACTATCAACAATTGGCAGCTTACTAGATAAGCATATTTATGTAAATATACATAAACACACCTATAGACACAACGCATACAACTCGGACCAGAAGTCTTCTGCTCCAAAACTTTCATTGATAGGACACTGACAAGGAAATCCTACCATTTGAGGTTGGCAAAAATTTATTTTTAAAAATTCCTTGTTTTTGAGTCATATTCTGCTTTTTTAGACCCTCAATCCATTATCCCTAATTCTGCCTTCCAGCCTTTCATGATAAACGCTTTTAAGTGTTCTTTTGAATCTTTGGCTAATTGACAATAGCTTTTGTACCCTTCTACCCACCCCAAAACAGATAGGGGACTTCATAAAACGGATCTCTGCCATTTTTTTTTTAATGAAAGATTAAACTTTTAAAAAATATATATATTATTGATTTTTCACAAGAGAGGAAGAGAGAGGGATAGAGAGTTAGAAACATCGATGAGAGAGAATCATCGATCAGCTGCCTCTTGCACACCCCCTACTGGGGATGTGCCGGCAACCAAGGTACATGCCCTTGCCTGGAATCGAACCAGGGACCTTTCAGTCCGCAGGCCGACGCTCTATCCACTGAGCCAAACCGGTCCTGACGGATCTCTGCCATTATGCAGAAGAAATGGAAACTGGTGGGAACCAAGGTTAACAACAGCATAGGAATAGATTGAGCTGTTATTAAAGGAACATTTAGTCTGAGTCAGGTGCTGTGTTAAATACTTTACACACATCATCTCATTTAATCCTCACATCCTTAATATTTTACCAACGAGGAAACAGTTAGGAAAGCCTAGCTACCTTGCCACAGCTAGTTAAGTGGCAGATCTGGGTTCAGATCTTTACCATTTGCTAGTTGTGTGGTCTTGGACAGGTCGCTTAACCCGAGATTAAAGTTTCTTCAAGGGTACTTACCTCATAATTTGGTTTGAAGATTAGATCAAACCAAAGCCCGCCTAGTGCCCAGTTCACAGTAAATGCTGACTAATAGCAATCAAGGTTTGGGTGCGGAGCTGTGAGCAACCAACGTTCTCCCGATTGCCCCAGGAACTTTGTGAAGGAGGCCGAGGAGATCAGCGCCAGCCGCCGGATGAACACCCTGACCCTAAACCGGCACACGGAAATCCTGGAGATCTTAGAGATTCCCCAGCTCATGGACACCTGCGTCCGGAACAGCTACTACGAGGAGGCCCTGGAGCTGGCAGCCTACGTCCGCCGACTGGAGAAGAAGTACTCCTCCATCCCCGTCATCCAGGTAGCCCGCCTCCCCACGCAGAGGGGCCTCACACTGATGTTCTTGTGACCAGTAATTCTGTGGGCATCGCTGAACCTTTAGGCAGAAACTTTTTTTTTTTTTTTAACTATTTTTTAAATTCTGTATTACTGCTTTTAATATATTTTATTGATTTTGTACAGAGAGGAAGGGAGAGAGATAGAGTTAGAAACATCGATGAGAGACAGTCATCGATCAGCTGCCTCTTGCACACTGCCTACTGGGGATGTGCCCGCAACCAAGGTACATGCCCTTGACCGGAATCGAACCCAGGACCTTTCAGTCCCCAAGCCGACGCTCTATCCATTGAGCCATACCGGTTTCGGCTAGGCAGAAACTTTATATGTTTCACGTCAGTTGCTGCCAGCCAGTCAGGCTGGAACACAAACATACATTCACTCATTTATTCAACTGAGAAATAGGAGCCCGTGTGCCAGGCGCTCGCCGATCTAAGGGCTGGGTGTGCAATGTGAACAAAGCAAACAAGGCCCTGGCTCTCATGAGCGGAAGCTGATAGTTGGCAAATGAACAGGTAAACAATAGGATCCGTTTAGACAGCGACTGTCTAGAGTAGGGGTGTCGAACTCAATCAGAGAAGGTGCCAAAATCTAAAATCCAGCCTAAATCGCGGGCCGAATGGTTTACTGAACAGTCATAAACTGTCATTGTGATGGAAACACAGCGGAGTGCAGTGATGACAGCGCGGTGCGGGCCACATTGCAAGGCCTGGCGGGACGGATTTGGCCCGCGGGCCTTGTGTTTGACACATGTGGTCTAGAGAAAACCCAGGGGATGGGATGGAAGGAGACCAGGGTGAGTTACTCTAGGGCCGTGGTTCTTAACCTTTCTAATGCCGCTACCTTTTAATAACAGGTGACCCCCAACCATAAAATTATTTTCGTTGCTACTTCATAGCTGTAATTTTGCTACTGCTAATGAATCGTCATGTAAATATCTGTGCTTTCCGATGTCTTTAGGCTCTACAGCAGCGGTTCTCAACCTGAGGGTCGTGACGGTCGCCTAAGGCCACCGTGAGGTCACCACAACATGAGAAACTGTATTAAAGGGTCGCGGCATTAGAAAGGTTGAAAACCATGGCTCTAGGGAGAGAGCGGTCAGGAAAGGCTCTTCTGGAGAGAGAACATGTAAGCTCAGACCCAGATCAGAAGGACCCAGCCACGCGTAGATGTGAGGGGAGAGCACAAACCAGAACGTGGAAAGAACAAGCGCAGCAGGCTGAGGAGGGAAGTTGGAGTGTTAAAAAATACAAAGACAGCCCAGCCAGGGGGGCCCAGAGACTGAGCGTTGACTTACAAACTAGGAGGTCACCGTTCGATTCCTGGACAGAACACATGCCCAGGTTTCGGGCTCGGTCCCTGGTTGACGGCATCCAAGAGGCAGCTAATTGACGATTCTCTCTCATCGTTGATATTTCTGTCGCTCCCTCTCCCTTCCTCTCTGAAATCAATAAAAATGTATTTAAAAAAAAAGAATACAAAGACAGCCAGTGGGACTGGACTGCAGTGAGCAAGGGGAGAGCATGAGGGGGCCGGTGAGGTAGGGGAAGCAGGGCCATGGGGACCCAGTATAAATCAGTTTTAGGAAATCTACTTCCTATGTTAGGAAAGCAGGGGGAATATTCAGGGTTAGTGGTGTGACTCGCCCCTCCGCGTTGCCAGGGCATCGTGAACGAGGTGCGCCAGTCCATGCAGCTGATGCTGAGCCAGCTGATCCAGCAGCTGCGGACCAACATCCAGCTCCCCGCCTGCCTGCGCGTCATCGGCTTCCTGCGGCGCATGGACATCTTCACGGAGGCGGAGCTGCGGGTGAAGTTCCTTCAGGCCCGAGACGCTTGGCTCCGTTCCATCCTGGCCGCCATCCCCAACGATGACCCCTACTTCCACATCACAAAAACCATCGAGGCCTGCCGCGTCCACCTGTTTGATATCATCACCCAGTACCGCGCCATCTTCTCGGACGAGGACCCGCTGCTGTCCCCCGCCCCGGGGGAGCGCACTGTGAACGAGGGCGCCATCTTCCACGGCTGGGTCCTGCAGAAGGTCTCTCAGTTCCTGCAGGTGCTGGAGGCCGACCTCCACCGAGGGACCGGCGGCCGCCTGGACTCGCTGCTGGGCCAGTGCATGTACTTCGGGCTGTCCTTCAGCCGGGTGGGCGCCGACTTCCGGGGCCAGCTGGCTCCCGTCTTCCAGCAGGTCGCCATCAGCACTTTCCAGAAGGCGATCCAGGAGGCGGTGGAGAAGTTCCAGGATGAGATGAACTCCTACACCCTCATCTCGGCTCCGGCCATTCTGGGCAGCAGCAGCCTGCCTGCCGCGGTGCCCGTGACTCAGCCGGGGACCCTGCAGCCGCCCATGGTGCTCCTGGACTTCCCACCCCTGGCCTGCTTCCTCAACAACATCCTGGTCGCCTTCAACGACCTGCGCCTCTGCTGCCCCATAGCCCTGGCGCAGGACGTGACCAGGGTCCTGGAGGACGCGCTTGCCAAGGTGAGCCCATGCCGTCGGCTCGCTGTTGGAACCTTCTTTGGTGACAGAAGACCAGGCTTTGGTAATAAGCCAGTCCGCATGGCGGTGGTGACTGCTGACTTAGAGAGGCTTGGTGTGGCTCTGGAGGTTTGTAATGGCTGAGCCACTCTGAGCCAGTTCGTCTCCCTACATGGAACCTACAACAGCCCATGGAGAGGCTGACCTGTAGTCACGATTCTGTAATGTATTCGCTTTCTGTTGCTGAGTAACGAACTCCCACACACATTGATCATCTCCCAGTTTGTGTGGAGCAGGAGGCCAGGCGCAGTGTCTGGCTCTTTGACTCTTCAGGGCCAATGGAAGAGTATCTCCTGCGCAAACCTCTTTTAGGGAAGTCATCAGCCCTCTCGTAAAAGGCCCATTTGATTAAATCAGGCCCACGTTTGGTTAATTCAGTCACTTGATTAGGGTCTTTCATTGCAACTGCAAAATTCTTCACCTTGGCCATATTCATTTTCTTTTCATTGGATTTACTGGGGTGAGACTGGATAACAAAATTACACAGGCTTTAGGTGCACAGTCCCACAACACATTATCTGTATGCTGTGTGCGCGCCACCCCACGTTAAGACTCCTTCCGTCACCATTTCCCCCATACCCCGCGCTACCACCTTAGCCATTTGCTACTGGTTAGAAACAAGCCACAGATTCTGTCTGCAAGTAAGGGGAGGAGATTACACAAAGAAGTGAATACAAGGGGATAGAAATGACACACAAACTATCTTAGAATTCTGCCTAACACAAGTAATGCTATTGCTCCTGTAATATCCTAGTATGCCACCCCCCTCCCCTTTTTTTTTTTTAGAGAGAGAAACATCGATATGAGAGAGAAATTCAATCAGTTGCCTCCTCTACACGCCCTGGCCAGGGATTGAACCCCAAACCTGGGTATATGCCCTGACTGGAATCAAATCCGACACCTTTCGGTGTAAGGGATGCCAATCCAACCTACTAAACCACACCAGCTAGCACATTTAGAGTCAATGAAATTCAAATAATAGTAATTCACTAATATTTATGTAGAACTCACTCCATGCCAAATAGCATTCATCATACTTTGCACATATTAAGATTTGATCCTCAAAATTCTATGAGGTAGGTCCTGTTGTTGAGAAAACTGAGGAAGGGAAGGAAAGAAAAGGGATGAGGAAACTGAGGCCCAGACGGTATGGAGGGCTTTTCAGGTAAGTAATCAGTTGGAAGTCACAGAACCAGTAAGTGGCATAGCTAGGACTTGAACCAGGGCATATAGCACCAGTCTTGTTAATCTTGTCACCTGTCTGAATTGCCTGGTCGGCTGCTCTGTTCTTTGTATCTGGAACTTCTTTCCAGCTCTGTTTCCTTCTTCCTTTACAGTTTCCTAGTAACCTAGCTTCCTGGCCTTACTCAGTAAAACCCTTTTATAATTTTTTTGCTTTATTTTCCTGGATCCAACATGGTTCTGAACAGTCTCCCATGGGAGTCAAGAACCAGGTATTCTTCCACTGGAACAAGCGACGGTGATGAAACAAGCTGAGTCAGAAAGACAGCAGTGAAATGACAGAGTTGTGAAAAGTGATCACACTTCTGAATTCAAACCAAGTAGTACTCTCACGTACTGTTTAGAACAGCTTTCTTCACGAAAACGGAGGCTGCACGTTTGTGCTTAGTTTCATGCACTGCTGATAGCGACAGGCCGCTCTCATGGAGGGTGTAGTAGACCACTGCTGTGACTGACGGTGCCTCTGTCTCCTAGGTAACCAAAGTGATCCTGGGCTTCCATCGCGCTGAAGAGGCTGCCTTCACCAGTGGGGAGCGGGAGCTTTTCATCCAGTTCTGCACTGTCTTCCTGGAGGACCTCGTTCCTTATTTAAATCGCTGTCTCCAAGTCCTTTTCCCACCAGCTCAGATAGCACAGACATTAGGTAAGAGAAAGGAGAGAAGATTTTAAAAACTATTTGGTTGATCTTACTCACATACTAATTCATTCACCTCCTTCTGAAATTTTAGTGAATGTACAGAAGTGTACAACCATTACCACCATTCAGTTTCAGAACATTTCCATCGCCCCCAAAAGATGCCTCATGCCCAGTGCAGTCATTCCCCAGCAACCACGAATGTACTTTCCGATGCAACAGATTTGCCTTTTCTGAACATTTCATATAAATGGTTTCATACGATGTATATATGTGACTAAGTGGTAGAAGCTAATCACAGAAGAACCAGATATTGTATGATTTTCCACTGTGCCTTCACTTCCCTGTACCCACTCTCTCTGCCCCTGGGATGGTTGCAGGGGAGGAGGAGGCAGAACGTCCCAAAGGGCAGTGGGCCACTAATCACACCAGGCAATGGGGCTGCTCACCACTTCCCCCAGCTTTTCTCTTGGGCCTGTCACAGGGAAGCCAGTGCTTGCCCACTGAGGTTCTCTTGACCCTCACTCCATCCGCCCTGCGCTGTGCTGTGCAGATTACCTTCAAAGCCTGGCTTTACTGTATACGCCCATGTCACAAAATGGCTCACTGTATTGAAATATGGTTATTGTGACTGTGATTTCTTGTGACATATCAGTATTTACATTTATTAAACGTTTTCTCTTTTACTTTGCCTACCATCGGGGTCAGGCATTCCACCCACTCAGCTCTCCAAGTACGGAAACCTTGGGCATGTCAACGTGAGCATCGTCCAGGAGCCTCTCGCCTCTATCCTGCCGAAGAAAGAGACGGTCTTCTGTCTGGATGAAAGGGAGCCAGTGCCAGAGCTCACAGCTCCAGCTCCAGCTGCAGCTCCAGAACCAGAACTCCCAGCCGAGGAGTCAAGCCTCCAGCCCATCACTCCGGCCTTCCCTGAGGAGGGGCAAGAGCAGGTTGAATCAAGCGAGCCACTGCAAGCAGATGTGCCCAGTGAGAGCACTTAACAAGGTTCCCTGCTCCCAGAACCAGACTCGGCACCCAGGGCCTGGAGGCTTATTGCAGCGCCCGTCCGGACAGCCCCAGGGGAGAGAAAATGAAAGGGGGAACCTCTTAGTCACTTATCTTATCCCATAAGAAATGAAGTAAAATAATAAAGCTGATTATCGCCACCGAGAAGCGGACAGCATTCTGTGGGCAGGAAGGCGCGCGGGAACTACGATTCCCAGCGTCCCTGGCGGCTGGAGGGCTCGGCTACGGAGGGCGAAATGGGAACGCGTAGGGGCGGGCCGCTCTTCTGGAGCGCACCATGGGCCGCCTGGGGGCCGGGCTGCTGCTGGGGTCACTGCAGGCTCGTTGCCTCGCGGGGCCAGCCCTGCCGTGGGCGGAGGGGCTGGCGGTCGGAGCCCGGGCTTGCAGTTCCACGCGCCCCGGGGGTGGCCTCGAGGGGCCGCCGCGCCAGCGCTCCTACTGGCGCTACCTGCGGCGTCTGGTGCTGGGAGCGCCCAGGCCGCCATTCCCGCACGTGTGCCAGGTCGGAGACCCGGCGCTGCGGGCCGTGGCAGCCCCGGTAGAGCCGGCGCAGCTGGCGGGACCCGAGCTGCAGCGGCTGGTGCAGCGGCTGGTGCAGGTGATGCGGCAGCGGCACTGCGTGGGCCTGAGCGCGCCGCAGCTCGGGGTGCCGCTGCAGGTGCTGGCGCTGGAGTTCCCGGAGGCGCTCTTCCGCGCCTGCGCGCCGCGCCTGCGCGAGGCCCGCCAGATGGAGCCCTTCCCGCTGCGCGTGTTCGTGAACCCCCGCCTGCGGGTGCTGGACAGCCGCCTGGTCACCTTCCCCGAGGGCTGCGAGAGCGTCGCCGGCTTCCTGGCCCACGTGCCCCGCTTCCAGGCCGTGCAGATCTCAGGTGCGGGAGGGCAGGGACCCCGGGGCGGCCGGGGGAGCGCTTGTGTCTCTTCTGCCTGTGGAGGCTGCGGCCTCGGATCCCAGGAAAGTTTCTGTGAAACTCCCAAGTGCAGACACGTGGATGGCCGATCAGCGGAACCTTCCGGCGAGAACAGAGGACAGGACCTGGGAGTTGACGGCACTCAGGACTAACAGACTGGGGCACAGACAGCTCAAAGTGGAAGAGACGGGGTGGGAGGTCAGGAGGGGGGTTAGGCTGGCCCTCTGCTCTATGCCCTCGCCCACTCTGTCTGCCCAAATTAGCTGTCTGTCATGGT